AGAACTTATCTCAAAATATAATCAGATTTCAACATGAATGTTAGAGGAACACAAGTCAGTCCATAACACTGACTTTCCAACAGATCCTTTGTTTCACAAACTAATATTCAAAGGAATCCACTTTAAAAACCTTAGCTTTATACATGATTTAAATTTATACTATTCTGATTTCGCCATAAATAATTTTAGAACCAGGAAGCACTACCTGAGTGTAGGCAGTGTGTAGGGCTCTATGGATTTAAAGTAAAGAAGACAGGATTTTGGCCTCAACCCTATTCTCAGAAATAAATGCAAGACATAGAAAAATAAATATATTCTGATAATTAGAGATGCTTTTCCAGTTCTAATCAATAATTTTTAGGACATTTGTCATACTATGATAAATAGGGGAAAGTTATAGGATTCTGCGTGTATAAATATTATGGAATATATGTAGTCCTTAGGATCTATGGCAAATTTTTAACTCTATCATCTTTAACGGGTTTGTTTGATTGTTTGTTTGTTTGCTATATGCATTTTTGTTGATTTTCATTCCTTCATTCCCTCATGTTCTTTATCAGGGAATTCTGAATGCACCATGAGTATAACTTCATTCTCAATCTCATAATAAAAATAACTAATACAAAAGGCTAAAAAACTTAAACAGAACAAAAATATATATAATGAATGATAATTGGCTTCATATTTCTCTTAAATATGTACTATTAACTATTCTTGTCTTTACATCAAGACATTATCTATGCATTACTAAACATAAGTATTTATATACATTTTTTTTCTTTTTCAATAGGAGGAATTACTAAATATTCAATTTTGCCTTTCTTCTCACCAAATCTAGATTTGACATCTTTCTACAAAATATTTTGAAATTTGCATTATTCTTTACATTCACATAATAGTATTCATTTTAATGGATGTAACAAATCATTGAAGTAGTCTAGTTGTGAGAGCCACTTGGTTTGTTCCAAATCTGGTATTACAAAAAATATTGTCCTAAATTTATTGCACTTACATCCTTGCCACAATGTTCTCTAAAATTGCTGGATCATTTAGCCTTTATCCTCAGACCTTTTCTGAGGTGCACAGTAATTCATTTTCTTCTGATCTCTTTATCTTACTGACCTATAACTAACATATTAGGGAATTTAAGCCTTTTTTCTATAATATGTAATACAAATATATTTTAAACCCATCAATTGACTTAGGAACTTTCAACTAATTTACACAGACATAAAAATATTTTATATCCATTTTAAAATATTATGCATCTACTTTCAGATTTTAGAAAATATCATACCAACAAAAAAGGTATATAAAATGTAAGTGTGCAGTTGAAAGAAATAATAAAATTAACTTCTGTATACTCTATAACCAAGTCCAGAAATAGATGGTTGCCAGTACCTTAGAAACACACTTCTTCCAGTGGAAACTATAAGCCTGACTTTGGTGAACATTTTGAAAATTTTGCATCTGCCATCTATATGCAATTCTCTCAAAACTATTGTTTAGTTTTTTGAATAATATACAAATACAAACAGATTCACTACTTATGCTCAATATTCTTTTGGTGATGAAATCATGTATTTTCTTTTTTTTTTAAGTTCTATAGATAGAGTTTTATCTATAGATAGTGTTTTACTGTGAAACTACACATGCTATTCTGTGGATGGACTTCTGGCTGTATACAGCTTTTATGTAATGCTACTGTTATGAACATTTGTATATGTCTCCTGTTATATAAAAGCAATAGTATAAATAAAGTATAAACTATATATTTTCCCCTACCACGTAATCTCAGACTTTGCTTAAAAATTTATACTTCAACAATGATTATATAAATTTATACTTCAACTGTTTTTTTTTAATTTTATTTTATTATGTTATGTTAGTCACCATTCATTATGTCATTAGTTTTTGATGTAGTGTTCCATGATTCATTGTTTGTGTATAATACCAGTGCTCCATTCAATATGTGCCCTCTTTAATACCCATCCCCAGGCTAACCCTTCCCCCCACCCCTCTCCCCTCTAAAACCCTCAGTTTGTTTCTCAGAGGCCATAGTCTCTCATGGTTCGTCTCCCCCTCCGATTCCCCCCTTTCATTTTTCCCTTCCTACTATCTTCTTTTTTTTAAACATATAGTGTATTATTTGTTTCAGAGGTACAGGTCTGTGATTCATCAGTCTTACACAATTCACAGTGCTCACCATAACACATACCCTCCCCAATGTCTATCACCCAGCCACCCCATCCCTCCCTCCCCCTACCATTCCAGCAACACTTAGCATAATACCCTCTAGTTCCATCCACATTGTTGCAAATGGCAAGATTTCATTCTTTTCTGATGGCTGCATAATATTCCACTGTATATATATATATATACCACATCTTCTTGATCCATTCCTCTGTTGATAGACATCCAGGCTCTTTCCATAGTTTGGCTATTGTGGACATTGCTGCTATAAACATTGGGGTGCACCTACCACTTTGGATCACTACATTTGTATCTTTGGGGTAAATACCCAGCAGTGCAATTGCTGGGTCATAGGGTAGCCCTATTTTCAACTTCTTGAGGAGCCTCCATATTGTTTTCCAGAGTGGCTGCCCCAGCTTGCATTCCCACCAATAGTGTAGGATGGTTCCTTTTTCTCTTCATCCTCACCATCTGTCATTTCCTGACTTGTTAATTTTAGCCATTCTGACTGGTGTGAGGTGGTATCTCATTGAGGTTTTGATTTAGATTTCCCTGATGCCAAGTGATGTTGAGCACTTTTTCATGTGTCTGTTGGCCATTTGGATGTCTTCTTTACAGAAATATCTGTTCATGTCTTCTGCCCATTTCTTGATTGGATTATTTGTTCTTTGGGTGTTGAGTTTGATAAGTTCTTTATAGATTTTGGATACTAGCCCTTACTCTGATATGTCATTTGCAAATATCTTCTCCCATTCTGTTGGTTGTCTTTTGGTCTTGTTGACTGTTTCCTTTATCGTGCAAAAGCTTTTTATCTTGATGAAATCCCAATAGTTCATTTTTGCCCTTGCTTCCCTTGCCTTTGGTGATGTTTCTAGGAAGAAGTTGCTGCGGCTGAGGTTGAAGAGGTTGCTGCCTGTGTTCTCCTCTAGGATTTTGATAGATTCCTGTCTCACATTTAGGTCTTTCATCCATTTTGAGTCTATTTTTGTGTGTGGTGTAAGGAAATGGCCCAGTTCCATTCTTCTGCATGTGGCTGTCCAATTCTCCCAACACTATTTGTTGAAGAGACTTTTTTCCAATGGACATTCTTTCCTGCTTTGTCAAAGATTAGTTGACCATAGAGTTGAGGGTCCATATCTGGACTCTCTACTCTGTTCCATTGATCTATATGTCTGTTTTTGTGCCAGTACCATACTATCTTTATTATTACAGCTTTGTAATAGAGCTCAAAGTCCAGAATTGTGATGCCACCAGCTTTGCTTTTCTTTTTCAACATTCCTCTGATTATTCAGGGTCTTTTCTGAAAGAAGAGCGATCACAACCAATACCACAGAAATACAATTATAAGAACATATTATGAACAACTATATGCCAGCAAATTTGATAATCTGGAAGACATGGATGCATTCCTAGAGATGTATAAACTACCAAAACTGAACCAGGAAGAAATAGAAAACCTGAACAGACCCATAACCACTAAGGAAATTGAAGCAGTCATCAAAAATCTCCCAACAAACGAGAGCCTTGGGCTAGATGGCTTCCCAGGGGAATTCTACTAAACATTTAAAGAAGAAATAATACTAATTTTTCTGAAGCTGTTTCAAAGAATAGAAATGGAAGGACAACTTCCAAACTCATTTTATGAGGCCAACATTACCTTGATCCCAAAACCAGACAAAGACCCCATCATAAAAGAGAACTACAGCCCAATATCCCTGATGAACATGGATGCAGAAATTCTCACCAAATACTAGCCAGTAGGATACAACAGCACATTAAAAGGATTATTCACCACGACCTATGGGATTTATTCCTGGGCTGCAAGGTTGATTCAACACCAGCAAATCAATCAATGTGATACAATACATTAATAAAGGAAAGAACAAGAACCATATGATCCTCTCAATAGATGCAGAAAAAGCATTTGACAAAGTACAGCATCCTTTCTTGATTAAAACTCTTTACAATGTAGGTATAGACAGTATATACCTCAATATAAAAGCCATCTATGAAAAACCCACAGCGAATATCATTCTCAATGGGGGAAAAACTGAGAGCTTTTCCCCTAAGGTCAGGAACAGGGCAGGGATGTCCACTATCACCACTGCTATTCAACACAGTACTAGAAGTCTTAGCCACAGCAATCAGACAACAGAAAGAAATAAAAGGCATCTGAATCAGTAAAGAAGAAGTCAAACTCTCACTCTTTGCAGATGGTATGATACTTTATGTGGAAAACCCCAAAGACTCCACCCCAAAACTGCTAGAACTCATACAGGAATTCAGTAAAGTGTCAGGATATAAAATCAATGCACAGAAATCAGTTGCATTTCTATACACCAACAACAAGACAGAAGAAAGAGAAATTAAGGAGTCGATCCCATTTACAATTGCACCCAAAACCATAAGATGCCTAGGAATAAATCTAAACAAAGAGGCAAAGAATCTGTACTCAGAAAACTGTAGAATACTCATGAAAGAAATTGAGGAAGACACAGAGAAATGGGAAAACATTCCATGCTCATGGATTGGAAGAACAAATATTGTGAAAATGTCAATGCTACTTAGAGCAATCTACACATTTAATGCAATCCTTATCAAAATAGCATCAACTTTTTTCAAAGAAATGGAATGACTAATCCTAAAATTTGTAATTTCCCCTTCCTTTTAACATCTAGATGTGATAAATAATCTAGGAGACATAGATTTATTTTTTCCTTAATAGCTTGTTAGTAAATTAGTGTAAATTGTATCCCAACAAAAATATATATAAATAACCTTCACACAACTTTTTTCATTTTCTCCAGGAAGACCCACTACATTATGTGAGATTATGGGGAAAGCAGAAATTTGGTTAATTCGGACGTATTGGGATTTTGAATTTCCTCGTCCATACTTACCTAATTTTGAGTTTGTAGGAGGGTTGCATTGTAAACCTGCCAAACCATTACCTAAGGTAGGTCTATTACAGTGGAGGATTTCTTTTGTACCTTATGAGATAATGCTGATATTTCTTTAAGGTATACTGTCTCAATAACAGAGATATGCTGTTTGCTACTCCAAATCTATTTTACAAATCATAGGGGTCTCTTATTACTGGTATTACCTTTTTTAGACTTCACTTTGACATTATGGCTAAAGAAAGAAGTGAATCAAGTGGCATGTTAAAATTTCAGTGTGTCTACAGTTTGGGTACTGGATTGAAGCAACAGGAAGGTAGGGCCTTGGAAATTACTCAGGAGATTACTATAGTCTTCCTAACAAGCATGATGGAGTTATGAATTGGGACAGTTAACTCTGATTGTTTGAGTGATAAAGATACTTTCATGAGAACTCTCAGGTAGATTCCAGAGTTTTGTCAGTAAGAAGAAGTAAGTATTGACAGAAGACATGGAATCAGGTAGCACTTCTTGGATAATAGTGATCTTCCTGAGATAAAAAATAATTCATGGAAGAACTCTTTTGAGATGACAATGATGAATTCACTTTTGGGCCTATTCACTTTAAGGAGCCAAATAAAGTTTCAGGTGAATATTTCTAGTAATCATTTGGGTAATGCAAGGTCTAGGTTTTAGCAAAGAGCATTAGAAACAGATTAGGAGTCATCAAAATAAAGACGTCATAGAACTAAGAGACCCAAACCCTGAATTCCTTCTTTAAGATCATGATGTCTGTTTTTTTCTGAAATGAAAAGGATACCACATTCCAAAGTCACCAACAAATAAATGTGGACAGCCAAAAGTGTTGGAAGAAGACAATATTGAAACATAAAAGAGAATAATAGATAAACATGATAAAAATATTGTATTTAACTATCTTTAGCAACAACTATCATCAAGGGATTGAGGAGGCAGACACTCATTTGCTTGGGTTGTAGGTAAAATAGCATAATCTCTGTAGAAGATTGCAGGTTAAATAGTGTTCTCAGGAGAGTTCTTGATTTCTATTTAGAGTAAGATGTACATTTAAGTTTAAATTTTATTTTAGGATTCTGAATATGCTTTTCTTACCAGTCAAGTTATAGCTGCAGCTCTATTGAATGTTATTATAGCAAATAATAAACCAATATCTAAACAAAGGTACAGAAAGAGACAGGACATATCCTTGGCTCAGTAGATAATATCCTGTGCCACACTATTATATTCATCCTCCCATCCTCATTTTTCATATACACAATTTCACAAAACAACTCAGACATGTTTTACAAGAGGGAGAAATTATTCCATTCCAAACCCAATTACTAATACAAACATTTGGGCAATATGAACACCAATCAAAGCTTGTATCTCTGATGAAAAAGTTATGCCAGTCACTGCATACACAGAAAAAAAGCAATGAAAGACAGGCAAATCAGGAATCTAAACCCAACTGCTAGATTTGTAAATTTTCATATATGTGTGTTTGTGCATGTGTGTGTTTATTCCATCACTGTCTCATAGGGGATGAATCAAAATGGCAAAATACCAATTCCTGGGACTTCAGAGATATTCTCCTAACATTATCTAAGCTAAAAGATAGCTTTCATTTATGACATCATCCTTTCCCTAGTAATTTTACTAGCCTTAAATTGAGAAATACATTGATAAATAAATAAATAAATATAACTGAGAAATATAATAAATATATTGAGAAATATTGCAGGGAAGCCACAAATAAATGCACAGGGAATGCATGACACATCTCTAGAAGTTGACATTCACATAGATTATAATGCAAAAGACCCCAGTCCCAGATTTTGCAGTGCCTAACTTGCACAATTGTTAAGTGGTGACCCAGAGGATTTTATTTGTAGAGAAGTTTATATTTACCACTGTGCTAAGGTTCAAATTAAGGCATGTCAGCTGCTTGTGGGAAGGTAGAGAAACACTGTCTCATAAATGTTATCATGATAAAAAAAATAGCAGAAGTTTACCTTTTAAAATGTGTTACTATATATCTCAATTCCAAAAAAAAAAAAAATCATTTTTAGCCCCATTAATCAGGAAAAGAATAAACATGAGAAAAATACCCCGAATGCCTAACAGGGAGTTAGATTGATTTATTAATAATTTATTAGATGTAAACTGACATGGTACACATTTTAAAAGTCTAGTTAGGACCCTTTTTTGGGTTTCCTTACAAGGAATATTTCTGTTTGCAAACATCTCTGCTGGTTCATAAAATTAAGCCTTGATGGTAAGAGTTCCATGAACCGTGAGAAGAGCTGTCTCTTATTGCCCATTCTCTTTCTATAATGGTTTGGTTCTATGCCTTTATCTGTAATCACTCATTATATATTTAAGCCATAGTTTTCAGAAACACACTTCCTCTTAAAGATACTAGATGGTTCTCTTTGGCATAAGATAGAATGAGTCTAATGTCTCTGACACATCTCTTGACTCTGCCTATTTAGAAGAATAGATGAAATTCCCCCCACCCCATGATCCTGCATGTTTGTAATAAAAAGAATTTTATCACTGTAGGAAATGGAAGAATTTGTCCAAAGTTCAGGTGAAGATGGTATTGTGGTGTTTTCTCTGGGATCAATGGTCAAAAACCTCAAAGATGAAAAAGCCAATCTCATTGCCTCAGCCTTTGCCCAGATTCCACAGAAGGTCAGTACAACATTGGGTCCTGGTGAAGAGTTACTTTGCCAATTGGAGAGAGGTGTGACTAACAGTACTTTTTCTAGATCAAAGCTGAGACACTGAGCATAACTGGTACCTCCTTCAAGTAAAAATTTCTTAAAACATTAAAATGATGTATTGAGGCACATTTAATCATTTGCTTAGTAAGCCTTTGTATTACTATGGAAATACATCTTTTTATACAATCATTTATTTTCATTGAAGTAGAGATGAAAATGTTAAGATCCTAATAACTTTTTACTATTTGAAATCTTATGACCCGCATTGACTACTCCCCAAATTCTCCAGTGTGTTAGCTCCAAGGTCCAGGAAAAGAGAGATGTTATACATAGAGTAGATAGGAATTATGTTCAAGGATATACTTTATATTTTTAGGTTTAATTGATGCTGTATCAGGATCTAGTTGGTTTAGAAGTAGAAGCCTAATCTTTCTAAACTTAAATTTCTACAGTTAAAAACAGTTAAAAATCCCAATATTATTATCAAACAATTTATATTTTCTGATTTATGATATTCAATTAACTTTAATTTTGTTGTCATTATAGTTCTAGATTTCTACTCTTTATATACTCCTATTTATGAAATACCCTAGAACTCTTCATATTGGTATATTAGTTAAAATATATAAAACTCCATAAAGGTGAGCATACTAATTAGGCTTGTTAAATCTTTGAATTTTTATTTCTTAACTTTTTTGTTAAAAAGTTTGCCACCCATGGATGTGGAGAAAAAGGAACTCTCTTGCACTGTTGAGAATGCAAACTGATGTGCATCCACTGTGGAAAACAGTATAGAGGTTCCTCAAAGAGTTAAAAATAGAACTACCCTATGATCCGGTAATCGTGTTCCTGGGCATTTACCCAAAGAATACAAAAACACTAGTGCAAAGGGATACATGCACCCTGCTGTTTATAGCAGTTTTACAATAGCCAAATTATGAAAGCAGGCCAAGTGTCCATGGACGGATGAATGGATAAAGAAGATACGGTATTATGTAAGTGATGAATCACTAAATTCTACTCCTGAAACCAATATTACACTATATGTTAACTAAAATGTAAATAAAAATTTGGGGAAAAAAAGATGTGGTATACATACACAATAGAATATTTTTTCAGCCATAAAAAATAATGAAATCTTGCCATTTGCAAAGACATGAGTGGAGCTAGAGAGTATAATGCTAAGCAAAATAAATCAAAGAAAGACAAATATTATATGATTTCACTCATATGTGGAATTTAAGAAACAAAACAAATGAGCATGGGGAAAAAGAGAGAGAGAGAAACCAAGAAACAGACTCTTAATTATAGAGAACAAACTGATGGTTATCAGAGGGGAGGTGGGTGGGGGCATGGGTTAAATAGGTGATGGGGATTAAGGAGTGCACTTGTCATGATCAGTGGGTGAGGTATGGAATTGTTGAATAAAATAAACACTTTAAAAAATAAGTTTGCCACCTATTAATATTTAATCTGAACTTTGTCTTACAGAGCTCCCCCCACCTGCAAAAAGTATGTAACAAAAGGTTAACATCCTAACCAGATACTTCATTAAAAAATGAAATAAAACAAACCTCCAGCTCTTCCTCCCTCAAAACTATAGAGAGAAAAAGAAAGAGAAAGAAAGAAAGAAAGAGAGAGAGAGAAAGAAAGAGAAAGAAAGAAAGAAAGAAAAAGAAAGAGAAAGAGAGAAAGAAAGAAAGAGGGAAAGAAAGAAAAAGAAAGAAAGAAAGAAAGAAAGAAAGAAAGAAAGAAAGAAAGAAAGAGAAAGAAAGAAAAAGAAAAAGAAAGAAAAAGGAAGGAAGGAAGGAAGGAAGGAAGGAAGGAAGGAAGGAAGAAAAAGAAAAGAAGAAAGAAGGAGGAAGGAAGGAAGGAAAAAAAGAGAGAGGGGTGGAGGGAAGGAGAGAGGGAAGAAGGAAAGAAGGAAAGACAATCATTCAGCAACTAGACAACAAAAATTTAAAGCTAATTATATTTTTGGAAAACATTACATTTGAAACATGAGAGGATGGCCTTATGACATTAGTAAATTTACACAGTATTCATGTTTATTTTAATGCTTTTTATTTTTTTATTTTTATTTTTTTTTAAAGATTTTATTTATTTGAGAGAGAGAATGAGAGAGAGCACATGAGAGGGGTTAGGGTCAGAGGGAGAAGCAGACTCCCTGCCGAGCAGGTAGCCCGATGCGGGACTCGATCCAGGGACTCCAGGATCATGACCTGAGCCGAAGGCAGTCGTCCAACCAACTGAGCCACCCAGGCGCCCATATTTTAATGCTTTTTAAACCCCCATGCTCTGATTGATTAAACTAGTCTTTTCATTTTATATATCTTTACTTATAATCTCATACCTCAAAACTTTTAAGTGATAAATATAAAAATGATAAAACTATACTTAATAGAGTATTAGTTCAAGCCCTTTTTGACAGGGTTGATGTAAACAGTCCTACTATATCACCATGTTTGCAAACTACCCCTTATGTCCACTTCTCTCACTATCACATAAAGTAGTGGTGGGCCACATGATTTATAAATAATTCTACAGCATTAAGATGCCTTCACTGTGTGTTTTTACTTGCAACATTAAAGCACTGTCTTCGACAGGTTTTATGGAAATACAAAGGAAAGAAACCAGCCACATTAGGAGCCAATACTCGACTCTATGATTGGATACCCCAGAATGATCTTCTTGGTAAGACTGGGGGAAAGAAAAGCTGTACAGTTGGATAATGGGCAAGTAAAGTAACTGTTTAACAGCAAATAATTCAGTAAGTATTTAATAGCTAAAAATGTCACATTTTAGGCTAAAATCAAAAACCCAAAAAACAACAAATGTTGGAGAGGATGTGGAGAAAAAGGAACTCTCTTACACTGTTGGTAGGAATGAAAACTGGTGCAGCCACTGTGGAAAACAGTATGGAGATTCCTCAAAAAGCAAAAAATAGAACTACCCCACAATCCAGTAATCACACCACTGGGTATTTACCCAAAGAATACAAAAACACTAATTCAAAGGTATACATGTACCCCTATATTTATAGCAGCATTATTTACAATACCCAAGATATGGAAGCAGCTCAAATGTCCATCAATTGATGAATGGATAAAGAAGAAGTGGTATATATATATAATGGAATATTATTCAGCCATCAAAAAGAATAAAATTGTGCCATATGCAAGAACATGGATGGAGCTAGAGAGGATAATGCTAAGAGAAATAAGTCAGAGAAAGATAAATACCATATGATTTCACTAATATGAGGAATTTAAGGAAAAACAACAACAAAAGAAAAGAGCAAAGGAAAAATAAGAGAGAGAGAGAGACAAATCAAGAAACAGACCCTTAACTATAGAGAACAAACTGATGGTCACCAGAGGGAATGTGCATGGGGGGATGGATAAAATAGGCAATGGAGATTAAGGAGAGCACTTGTGATGAGCACTGGGTGATGTATGGAAGTGTTGAATCACTATAGTGTACACCTGAAACTAACTCTGTATGTTAACTATACTGGAATTAAAAATAAAATTTAAAAAATAAATAAATAAAGCTAGAAAAAATAAAATGTCACATTTTACTTGCAGTTTTAAAGCAGAAATAATTTGAGAATTGGCAGTTAATTTTATAGATTCAATGCTTTCTTTGATTCACAAAATAGCATTTCAGTTAAGACTCTCATCACTCTTCAAGTTTCAGTCTCAGTTTGGATATTTCCTCCTCAGTAAAGTCCTTCCAGACAATGCAGAGGGAACTAATTCCTCCTTTCCTGGGATCATAGTTTTCTGAAATAGCAATAGCCCATGTGCTCTCAGCTTTTCTAGAAAATGCTTTCTTCATTGAGCCACTCTGTGGGTTTTTCCCTATCTCCCTCTAAAATTCTGTTACCTTATTATAATGAAATCCTCACCCAATTCCCAAACTAGGTCATCCCAAAACAAAAGCTTTTATCACTCATGGTGGAACCAATGGGATCTATGAAGCTATTTATCATGGGGTTCCTATGGTGGGAGTTCCTATGTTTGCTGATCAACCTGATAACATCGCTCACATGAAGGCCAAAGGAGCAGCTGTGGAGGTGAACATAAACACAATGACCAGTGAAGATCTGCTCAATGCCTTGAGAACAGTCATTAATGAACCTTCGTAAGTACTAATGTTTTAAAAGGCTTACCATTGATTATGCTACCCATCATACTTGGAAATGTTCAATGTCTCCTGACTTTGTTAATGGGTTTATTTTCAAATAACAACTATAACATGACCAATATGAAAATGCCTTTATTATTTCATTTCCATAACATTGAAGTAATTTGCTGAAATTGGGAAAAAATACTATTACTTCAAATATTTTATCAATGCTTTTTTCAAAATCAATCATTTTAATGATCACATAAGTTCTCTGACATTTTTTGAACAATCTGCTTGTTCGTATAGACACACATATATATGCCTATTTAAGTATTATAAGTAAGTACAAAATTGGAAGTGATAATTCACTTTATCATTCAAAAAGAGCCATCATTAACACTGACTATATATCATATATCAGTATATGCATATACACAGAGAGGAGAGATACTAAGTAGGTAATAATTTTACAAATACTGGTTATTACTATGTGTGAACAAAATTTTGAATTTTATCTGATTTAGCTAAAGATTAATTGAAATGAATCTATAAGCTATATTTAACTTTAAGTATATATCATTGTATCTTATTTTTTTCTCTGAAAAATCTCATCAAGGTTAAGAATTAATATATGAATACAGTTTTAAGTTTTCATTTTTATGTATTTTTGATTTTGGCAACAGTTGAACTCCTGCTATAGAAATAGCCTCATCTCAAAAAAAATAGAAGTAATCTCATCTCTAATATGTATTACTTAAGATTTTAATTTGTCAATATTTATGCCACTTATTTTCCTCAAATTTAGTCTTTTTGCTGCATCTTAAAGGAATCAATATTTGCCATTAATTCTGAGATTCTTTATTCCAAAATATTTTGGATTCACTCTTAACTGAATATACTATATGAAATTTTCTTTCAATGAAGATTCATGGATATTAAATTTCCTGAGATCGTTTAGCAATATTTGCTGATTACCTTGATATAAGAATGATCTCTCACCTCTCTGAATATAAGATATTTAGCTCTCTCTTTTCTTCAGAATTGTGTAAATATGACTCATGGTCTCCTGGCTTTAAATCCTTCTATAGGAATTTGAGGCCTGTCTGATCATTTTTGTTTGTTTCTTTTTCAGTTTGGAAAAAAATCATTTTTTAAAAAAAATTCAGAAACCTAATTAACGATGTATCTTGATAAATTATTTTCTACATTTTCCCTGGGTTATAATATGTCCTTTCAATACTGTTAATCTAGATTAAAAATTATTTTTCTTCTCAGAAATTATCTTTTTGTTATTTATTAGAATGTTAGTTCCACTTTTTATCTGTATTTCAGGGACATCAAACTTCAGCATTCTCTATGTTAAAATATTTTGGTTTTCCTTCTCTATCATTTTCTAAGTGCTCTAATCATCTTCTACTTTTCTTAATTCACTGGGATTCCCTCAATCCATAAATTGGTAAGTTTACTTTTTTGCCATTAGAAAACTACAGTTTCTAGGTTATACCCTCCTTTCTATTTTCACATTTCTGACAGCTGTTACTTTCCTCTCTTTTCTTTTCTTTTTTTTTTTATTATGATACATTACTCACCACACATTACATCATTAGTTTAAATGGAGGAGAAAAAAAAAGAAGGTAAAAATTCTAGTTCTCAGCTGACATAGGACACGGATCTGAGTATTTTATAGAGAAGTCATAAAAATGTACAGAATTACTAAGCATGCAACTCTGTGAAATGTAATCTAATAAATGTCTTATCAAAGCACAAAGAAAAAAAGAAAATTACAGTTTCTAATTTCATTATTAATCCTTTAAGAGGTATTTTTGCCAATTTATTTCAACAGCTCACCTATACCCTTTATCACCACTTTTTGTTTTATAACTTAATTTTTTTGTCTTTTATTCATAACCCTTGCATTCTTCTTTTACTTCAACTCTCCTCTTTTTTGAACTATGTATTATGCTTACTTACATTCTAAGTCCATCATTTTTATGGCTCCCCCCCATATTGTATAAGTTGTTATCAAGGCATATTTTTCATCTAGCTGTCTCAGTATTTACTTGGAATTTGTATAAGTGCCTTATATTTAAATTTGTTTCCAGGTTATCTCAGACTCAATTATTTTTATTCAGAGGCAAAACTCAAAGAATGGTTAAAACATTCCATTTGTATTACTGAAACCTGAAATTGAGGAGGTAGATGAGAAGGTCAACTCAAATGCAATTTTGTGCAGCTTTTTTTGGTGGATCTAGTCTATGTAAAACCATCTATTCTAAGCCCTAGTTGCAGGTTTTTTTACACAAAGGGGTCAATGTATTGCTCCCCAAAAGGGAATGTTTGCCTTGAATCCAACCTAAAAAGCCAGTGCTAGTGGTCCATTTCCCCCTCTCACACACATTCCCATCAAATGACTCTTATTATGATGCATGTTTAAGTCATAATTTTCAAAATATAGATATCATCAATTCAGGAGCTGGAGCTGGTGTTAAGAGCTTCAGGAAGGGGGCGCCTGGGTGGCTCAGTTGGTTAAGCGACTGCCTTCGGCTCAGGTCATGATCCTGGGGTCCCAGGATCGAGTCCCGCATCGGGCTCCCTGCTCAGCAGGGAGTCTGCTTCTCCCTCTGACCCTCCCCCCTCTCGTGCTCTCTCTCCCATTCTCTCTCTCAAATGAATAAATAAAATCTTTAAAAAAAAAAAAAAAGAGCTTCAGGAAGGCTGACTATGATCTTCTGTTTCTCATAAATGATGATCTTGATGTCTAATGCATTAAACTATTACTGAGTTGTTACTGCTGATAATTTGGTTCATTTTACTAAATAAGAGTAAGTTCTGTAATTTTTTAGAACTCTAGCTTATTTCATGGAATACCATTAAATTTTATTATTGATTTGAAAACTACTGATGCAAAAGACAGAAACATAAGTACTCAGGATTTTCCAATAAAATACCTAAAATTATTTATTTTAAAATATCTTAATATTAACTGTAAACCTAATTCTAACTCAGAAATCATCTGAGAACAATAGAGTTTAGTATAGAGTGCATATATGGATGTATTTGTGTTCCATTTATTACTTCTTAAAGGAATTAAGGAACACAAAAGATTACACTTAAATACATAAAGCATAGTAATTTTAATTACTTATAATATTTTAAGATAACAGTCATGTAACATTAGTGTACAATAAGATGTTAAATAATCATTTTAAATATGAGCATAGACCTTTCTTGTCTCATTTATAGGAAAGCGTACTTTATTTTTATTTGGATTCACAAGTACAAGTTTATCTAGTATATATGTATTTAAGATTTTAAATCTCTATCTATAAATGGAGAAAACCTTGGACAAAAATATGATTTGGAAAGATAAGCTTTTATTGTCACTGTAGTTTGCCTGAAATATTTTAGGACAAACCACGTGAAATTACTGCTTTAACCCTACCTATATTTCAATCCAATTGAAAGAGTAGGACTATTCTTTCACATTGCACACAAAAAAGAACACAAGTAAATTATCCCCTCCTACTGGATCTAGCATACCATGTTCACTGGTGAATGATGATCACATTTCTTCTTCTCCAATCCCAGAAATGTCTAACTCACACCAGGGCATCTCTTCACAAATCACTTACCTTCCAATATCTTCATGTTTCCAAGTTGCAACTATTATTTATAACACAAAACCAAAAGGAAATAAACTAATTCTGGCTCATCAACTAAGAAATGTCAAGTGAAGATAAAACCTGCCTTTCAAATACATACCTATACCCATTACTGTTTGAGACATTAGAGTTAACTCCATATAACCATTGCTACTTTGATGCTTATTGATTGGGAGCTCTAGTTCTAGCAAGATATTTCTATTTATCTTAAAAATTCAAAGTCTATATCCTTGCCATTTCCAAAATTACCCTAGTATCTTCACCAATATTGATATTGCCAATATAGACACTGTCCCTTGCATCACAAAGACACAGTGTGTGCAATGGAGAAGTTATCCCAGTGCCAAGATCTTAGACACTGCAGAAATGGTTTAGTAATGTCAATTATCAGCTTCTTGTCTGTAATCATGAAGTAGCCAGAGATTAAAGACCATGCTTGGGTTATTTGCTGTCTTGGTTTTTGAACAATCGTGGAAAATATACACAATATCAAAATTCCTCCTTGGAAAAATTAGGTCATACATCTGCAACAAACATTCTATTTTTTTTTATGTCTGCATTTCACCACATTCTGTTAAGAATATATTTCTTCTACATCCTCCCTTCACAATTCTTAACATGCTATGCAACCAACAAAGTTCACATCTCAGCAAGACTCAATGTACCTATGGCCTTTGGCTTACATAACATATAGCATGTATCACATCTTACCAGTAATGAAAACAAAAATTCTCTAATTTCTAAATTTTTGCCTACCAGTTATAAAGAGAATGCTATGAGGTTATCAAAGATTCACCATGATCAACCTGTGAAGCCCCTGGATCGAGCAGTCTTCTGGATCGAGTTTGTCATGCGCCACAAAGGAGCCAAGCACCTGAGGCCAGCTGCCCACAACCTCACCTGGTTCCAGTACCACTCTTTGGATGTGATTGGGTTCCTGCTGGCCTGTGTGGCAACTGCTATATTCTTGGTCACAAAATGTTGTTTGTTCTCTTGTCGAAAATTTGGTAAAACAGGAAAGAAGAAAAAGAGGGAATAGATCTAAGTTTGGCAAAGGCCTATTAATGGGCAATCCTGTTCATTCTAGCCACAGTGACCTTAATGAAAACAGATTATCTCCATCCTGTTTTCAAAATTCCCACTCCTCTACCTTAGCCTAGAGATAAAGCCTAGAATTCAACATGATCATTAATTAGTGAACATGTCCCAGTCTTCCTTTGTCTTTTCCCAGGTGCCTTTACCCTCTTCTTCTCATTTTCCTGTGACAGGGACACTAATAATTTTATGTATCTTCTATTCAAAATATCATTATTTTCATTATGCTTAACCTTAAGAATATGCTGACTAACAATATGCTGAATCCTGAGGAGCACACAACATGTGAGTTGAATGTGATGGATGTAGGGAATATAGAAGAATAAAATTCACAAGTTCCCCTAGAATATACAAATCAAGGAATCACCATAGATTAGTATGCTATAAGAAGCATAATGATTTCTTTTTTCATGAAAAATAAGCCCTTCTGCTTGTCCAAAGTTATTGGGGTCAGAGCCTAAATTGATAACAATGGTTATAGTGTATCATACTAGGGAAGGTCTACAAATTCCCATTCAATCCATAGGTAATTATGGCCTGTGTTCCTGCCTGCAATCAACTAGCCCTCTAGTGTGCCTTTTAATGCAAGGGTCTGGGGACTGCCCTCAAACAAAAGAGATTAATTGAGTCATTATTTTTTCTCAGGGACAGAGAATGTCAGCAATATGTTAAAGGTGGCCAGATCATTTATAGAGAAAATAATTAAGAAATATAGAAAAAATTTTATGAAATTTTTAATTAACAGTATATTGGTAACATTAAAGTTAAATGTCAATTTATTATATTGAAAAATCAGTAATGCCCATAATCTATAATCATTCTTTATAATCAAAGATTTAGTTTTCTAGCAAAAACAAATATTTACTTGGAATGTAAGATCATTGTATTATTTTTCGGTCTGTATCTTTTACAAATTTAAATTTATCAATTAAGTATTATGCCAAGCATATAAGTAAGATATTAATAGATCTGCTTGACTAAGGGTATGTTTTAGTAAATATTTATCATGGAAAGCACTAATTAAAATTCATAATGAATCAGCTCTGCATTAATTTAACAAGACTGCACTTTCTTTACCCCTTATAAACTTAATGATATATTCTAATTAAAGTTTTAATTTCAGTATTTCATATATAATTGAGTTGAATGACATCCGTTGGCTTACTGAAAATTTTGAAATTCATATTCATTTTAACATGGCATATTGAAAATTACCTCCAATTTAAAAATAACTGCATGATATATAAGAATATGTATTTCTTTTTTTTAATATGTACATTACCAAAAATGCAAATAAATTCTTAAATTTTTTTGTGAAGGCTAAAAATTTATTTGTTAAATGTTAACATTTTTAAAAGGTGATTCATGTTGATATATTTTGACTTTTACAATTTGGTCATGGCCTGAGAAAAGCTGTTTATGTTTGCTCTGTGCCTACTTTATTTTCTGCTTTTGGAATACAGCAAATGGCTTAAGATCCAATGAGAGGTGGGCTAGCGATTCATGGTGTTGAGCACTACCAAGTTCAGGCACCCATTTGGTTTCTGAGACTGGCTGCCCACAACACAGAGATTTGTTTCTGCACAGAGATAGTCCCTGCTCACCAGTTTTCTCCCCTCCTGCTGATTATCTGCAGGTTTCTTCCTTTGCCTGAATAACACCAGAAGGCAGCTGGCAAAAATTCCTCGGTGATACCAACTGCATTAGTCAGTCTAACTGCAGCATATATTTGGATAATAAACAAACAAATAAACAAATAAAAATAACACACACATACATATATACACGGAGAGAATGGACTTTCCTTAGCTGTCTTTTGCAAAACTGTTCAGATGAAGAAACTCTCATCCTTAGTAAGCAGAAACCAAGTCCCATTAACCAGAGCACTGTTACATAGCTCTTACATTCTCAGACCCTGGAGCTATTCGGGAGGCTGCACTTAATACTTTTATTTATTTTGTTCATAAACATTACATGTTCCCCTCATCTTCTGGCAGCAACTCCCCTGGTTAGGATTCTTTACCTGATAGAATGATCCAAAACTTCATGCACTCCAAATAAATGTCACCAGCCAAGTTTATCTTTGGCATTGTGAATCCTTATACAGCCAAGAGAGTAATGCCTTCTCTGACTGAATTCTGAAGCAGAGGAGCTCAAAATAATCAAGCTCAAAATAATTCACAGTTAATAATCTAAGTAAATCATGGCTATATCCCTGGGTGGAATCATTCCTCCCTTGAGAAATGCAACCTTCAAACCTTACCAGACTCCAAGTTGTAATAATGAAAAACAAACTTGTCTAAGGGAAATAGTGAGGCATACTTGTTAGGGGACTCATTCCCACTTTCAGCCCCTTGAGATCTGAACCCATGTATTCAAACTAAAATACAAAAGCATATATACGAGGTTATGATTTGAAGCGTACACTGCATCCTTTAAAACAGCACCTAAAATATATAGGATATTGTCTCCCAGCTAAAACCCTGAGAAGTTCTCATTAGCTAAGGGGGAATTTGGTAAAAATCAGCAAATTCCATGAATATTAGACTGTTGCACTTCCTTCATGGTAAATATGTTTCCTGGTCATGCACAGTGTTGATATCAACACCAACATTTTTACTAAGGTTTCATGTGCACAGTTTGTGATCTGGCAGAAATAATACAGAGAATTTAGGGGAAAACCTGTTATTTGGAAATTATAACTACTTCTCTGAAGAAAAAATGGTGCATCCTCTAGGATGAAGGTGACCAATGCAATTTTTCTACTTTTTGGCTAGCTAGAACCCTTGGGAGTTTACCATATTGGGAAGGAGGTGGGGGGGAATCCCTGCTGTTAACAAGTTGAGCACGTAACAGCTGAAGTAGCCAAACGAGGCTTGGTGAGGTGAAGTCCGTGCTGTGCATTCATATATAGTTTCCCCCCGAGTCTCCATTGCTCCTTTGTGAATGAGCTTTTTTTAAAAAAAAAAGATTTTATTTATTTATTTGACAGAGAGAGACACCGCGAGCGAGGGAACACAAGCAGGGGTGAGTGGGAGAGGGAGAAGCAGGCTTCCCGCTGTAGGGAGCCTGATGTAGGGCTCCATCCCAGGACCCTGGGATCATGACCCGAGCCGAAGGCAGATGAGCGACCCAGGTGCCCCTGTGCATGAGCTTTAAGATCAAATTCTGGAGGATCTGGAAAAAGACATCAACATTTGCAGGACTGCTCATCCAAACCACCTTATTATTATTTTTTTTAAGATTGTATTTATTTATTTGAGAGAGAGAGAGAGCACAAGCAGTGGGAGGGGTAAAGGGAGAGGGAGGAGCAGACCCCCTACTGAGCAGGAAGCCTGACAGGGGACTACATCCCAGGACCCTGACACCATGACCCAAGCAGAAGGCAGGTGCTTAACTGACTGAGCCACCCAAGCGACCCCAAACCACCTTATTATTGAGACAGTTGTCTGTAGCACTATAGAGGGAATTTCCACAGAATATGAGTATCTTCATAATCCATGCAAGCTCCAGGAGGTTTATTCACATACTTCTACCTCAAACGTTCTTACCTTTCAACTTCCCTCTAATTATTCCCAAATCTTTGACAAACCAGTCAATCCATTAGCCTTGGCCTATGAATCTATAGATCTGAAAGGAGATCACTTTTTTTCTCCGTAAAAATGGAGTCACCTGGATGTATTCCTTGATATTCTACCCATTGGAAAGATTTTACTCCACCACTACCATTCAGAGACACCCTTGAGTGGAGCTGTAACAGTGGCTACTCCCTGATGCTATGAGAATATCCTGTGTACTCATACATAAATTGGGATGTATGAGAATGTTTTCCCTATTTTCATTTGGGAATCCCCTTGTGAGTCTGAAGGGGATTGACAGATTTATTTAAAAACATTGGTAGGGGCGCCTGGGTGGCTCAGTCGGTTAAGCGTCTGCCTTCAGCTCAGGTCATGATCCCAGTGTCCTGGGATAGAGCCCCGCATCGGGCTCCCTGCTCCGCGGGAAGCCTGCTTCTCCCTCTCCCACTCCCCCTACTTGTGTTCCCTCTCTCGCTGTGTCTCTCTCTGTCAAATAAATAAATAAAATCTTTAAAAAAACAAAACAAAACAAAACATTGGTAGGTTCCATAGGAGTCTAAGCCATCTGCAGAGACAATTTATCTGTATTTCTGGAATTGCTCTGACCTGTTCTCATATATACTATATCTATTTAACTGTAGAATGTTGCTGCTAATGTTCAGTCATATTTTTGTTGTTACCACAGCATAGACCATCACAAGTAGCATAGTCACTTGGTGCCTATGGTTAGGTATTCAGTCTTAGCCAGAACTCAGTAACAAGGCAGGGGCTGTTTTTTCTAGGAAGGAGAGATACCAAGAAAATAGGTCATAGTTTTGCTTCAAAATCCTAGGATTCTCTTTTTGGAGTTTGTCAAAAGTTTATTTAACATTGCTATCGGCTACAGGCATGGCAGATACCCTTGGATTTTCTTTTTTTTTTTTTTTTGTGGTAAACAAAAACAACACATGAGATCTACCCTCTTAACAAAATTTTAAATATACAGTACAGTGTTACTAACTATAAGCACAGTGTTGTACAACAGATCTCTAGAACTTGTTCATCTTGCATAACTGAAATGTTATACTTCTTGAACAAAAACTCCCATTGACTCTGGCATCTACCATCTGCCTTCTCCTTCAATGAGTTTGATTACTTTAGACATCTCATTATAACTGGAATCATGCAGTATTTTTCCTTCTATGTATGACTTATTTCACTTAGCATAATGTCCTTAAGTTTCTTCCATGTTGTAGCATATGACAGGATTTCTATCTTTTTTAATGCTGAATAATATTCCATTTTATGCATATAGCACATTTTCTTTATCCATTCATCTATGGATAGACATTTAGGTTGCTTCCATATCTGGGCTATTGTGAGCAATGCTACGATGAACATGGGAATACAGATATCTCTTTGAGATAGTGATTTCAGTTCTTTTGGATAAACATCCAGAAAAGGAATTGCTATATTATATCAAAAAATCAATTTTTAATTTTTTGAGGAATCTCTATACTATATTCAATAGTGGATGCACCATTTTCCTTTTCCTATATATTACATTACATACATTTACTTTACAACAGTGCACAAGGATTCCAATGTCTCCACATCCTTGTCAATGCTTCTTCGTCTTTTTTTTTTTTTATAATGGCCACTCTAACAAGTGTGAGGTGATGTCTCATTGTGGTTTTGATTTGCATTTCCCTGATGATTAGTTATGCTGAGAATCTTTTCGTATACATGTTGGCCATCTGAATGTCTTCTTTGGAGAAATGTTTATTCAGATTTTCTGCCCATTTTTTAATCAAATTCAATCACTCAGTTTCCATACAGATAACAAAAGTCACCTAAGGTGTGTCAAACAGGGACATTTTTTTTTAATTTTTTAAATTTAAATTCAATTAATTAACACATAATGTATTACTTGTTTCAGGGGTACATGTCTATGATTCATCAGTCTTATATAACCCAGTGCTCATTACAACACATACCCTCCCCAATGTCCATCATCCAGTTACCCCATCCCTCCACCCCGCTCCCCTCCAGCAACCCTCAGTTTGTTTCCTATGATTAAGAGTCTCTTATGCTTTGTCTCCCCCTCTGACTTCGTCTTGTTTCGTTTTTTTCCTCTCTTCCCCTATGATCCTCTGCCTTGTTTCTTAAATTCCACATATCAGTGAGATCGTATGATAATTGTCTTTCTCTGATTGACTTATTTCGCTTAGCATAATACCCTCTAGTTCCATCCACATCATTGCAAGTGGCAAGATTTCATTTTTTGATGGCTGCATAATAGCCCATATTTAATGGACTATATATATATATACACACACCACATCTTTATCCATCCATCTGTCTTTGGAGACCTGGGCTTTTTCCATAGTTTGGCTATTGTGGACATTGCTGCTATAAACATTAGGGTGCAGTTGCCTCTTTGAATCACTACATTTGTATCTTTGGGCTAAATACCCAGTAGTACAATTGCTGGGTCATAGCGTAGCTCTATTTTCAACTTTTTGAGGAATCTCTATACTGTTTTCCAGAGTGGCTGCACCAGCTTGCATTCCCACCAACAGTGTAGGAGGGTTACCCTTTCTCCACATCCGCGCCAACATCTGTTGTTTCCTGACTTGTTAATTTTAGCCATTCT